TGTGAGTTGTGTGGCTCCTCCCTGAAGAAACGATCATCTTCGGATCTGCATCAAGAACTCTGCACCTCTGAGCCATTAAACAAGAAAATCATGGTCGATCCAACGTTACCGCCAAAACCTCGCTCAATCTCAGACATGGTCTCATCTCCTGTCCCCACAAGCACTKTTCTTGGTTCTTCCTTGTGGACTCTCCGCCGGTGCAACTCTGCGCCGAACCCTCCGTCCGAAAATAACAATCTTCCRCCACCTTCCCCACAGAAACCACAATTTCTTGATCGATCACAATCTTTCCCCACSCCATCACCACCTGCAGCACAACCGCCGGTGGCGACTGCTTTAGACAGGCTTCATTCTTTTTCTAGCTCATCCGACACACCAAAGACACCCATGGAAACGGAGATGTTGCCATCTTGTCCACCTTTGGTTCCGTCCACCATTCCCTCTGCAGTTCAAGAGCCRACCAAGAAAAATGGCGCATGYCAAGAAACTACAACGACACCGCCCACAAAAGATACAATCCGATCATCCGATTTCGGTCAGACGCTCTCCAAGATCACCAATCCTGCACTGTCAGATCCTGTGAAGGTGGAGACTTCTGCTACGAAGGTAATTAAAGATTATTTTGGAATCGGGAATAACTAATCCGGCACAAGCTTAAGCTGGGTTTACTTCAAGTTCAAGCTGCTTTTAATTGTTTTCTATCAGATGTAAATAACCATWGGAGCTCTGTTTARTTACAGAGAYCGGAGCAGATAAAGAAACGACTGATACAGATAAATGAATGCTGCAACGAAATAATGCAGGAGGTAATGGAAGAAGAAATCGATGATGGAACCAACAACAAGGTCTCAGTCTCTATCATATATATCATTTTCCCTTGATTTTGTTTTTGTTTAAATCAAACTTGCTTGTTAATTAGTAATGTTTGGGGTGCAGGAAGTTTCAGAGATTAACGAGGAAGAAAGTGTGACAGTTGGGAGAGAGGGAGAAGTTTTCAGTGTCCATTACAAGTGTGGCTGTGGAAAAATGTACCGTGTTCTTATCATCTGAGCTCTAAGAAGACCATTTGTCTGTTTTCTGTGTTCTATATATAGAGACGTAATTTTGATTTGGGTTTTGTTACTTCACATATATTTGTGCTATATTTTTTTTCTATAAAAAAAACAGACTTTCTGCTGTTAACACAAGTCCAGCCTTAATTTGCCACGTGGCTAACTAAGCAATTTTACATTGACCATTTTTATTCAAAGAGATTACATCCAGATGCTTGCCTAGACCATGGAAACCGGATTCAGTCAGTTCAAAGCCCATTCGAACAGCCATCATAGCCTTGGATTGGGAATATCTCCCCATGAAACATAGTATAGAAGTATGGAGATATTTCCAATGCAAGGCTACGATGGCTGTTCGAACAGTGTTCGAATGGGCTCTGATGGACAGGATGCATTAGCCACCTCATCACTACACATGGATTAAAATGGGTCCATGGGTAGGGCCCATTTTGATATAGACCCAGGATAGGACAATGAACTTGGAACCGACCTTGCCATTCCCCTCGTCTTTTCTTACCAGGAGTTTGAAAAACAGAAAAGCAACGGTAATAATAACTGTATTTAAAACCATTGAGATTGAGGAACCAAGCACAAGCAGAGCCTGTTCACATTTGATCCTTTCGAATTCTACGGTTAAAAGAAGTGTAAATGGAGAAGTGAGGAAGAACTCAACACTAAATCTTACATGGGACTCATGTATTCTATTTGGGTTATTGGAAATTATAATTGGGAGAAGATCTATACATCCAAATAGACATTAACTAATCCTTTTCTCACTACTTTTGAAAATGAAAAAAAAAAGAGAGAAAGGAAGAAGAAGATTTTTGAGAAACTAGCAGATGGGAGCATGGCTTGTACGTATATTTTAAGTTAAGTATTATATAATTTCAAATCAAACATGTAAAAATATAATACAATAATGTAACGGATCATCAGTTCAAAAATGAACCCTGAAGCAATGATGTTTTTGAATCGATTAGGGGTCTGGTTCTCGGGTCAAATGGTTCGACTGTTTGAATCAAACGGACAGCCCATTTTGACAAAAAAATAAAAAGAAATCAACCAAATCGTTGAATGGTTCGAACGCCTGGGTCAGTGGTTTGCTGACCAAATCAATTCTAGGGTAAAATGGAACTGGTCCCTGACCGATTCCTGGTTTTTCTGATCCAACCGTCAGGTCTGATCTGGTTTTGAAAACCATGATTTAAAGTGAGCTATGTGATCACAATCCAAAGGTTGAATAGTTGCTATAAGGTTGGAACCACTGTCTTCTTTCTTGGGACATCTCATGCACCTCCTTCACACATTCATGAGCTATTTTCTGCATATTTTCTCTCGTTACACAAAAAGGCACAAAGTTTTGTGGCATTGCATGAAGAGGGTACTGATCAAGGCCCCACCTCTTTCCAATTTGGAAACTTTTGGCTTGAGAAGAAATGGTTCTTTTGCTGCAATTAAAGAATAGTGTAATTCTAATATGAATGTTTGTAATGTTCAGTCATGTTTATGCAAAGAGAATAGGCTATAGAAAATTAAAATCAGTGGAGTAGGGACATCCCAAGAGCTGTTGACAAACATAATAGGGTGAGAGGATGGCATATCAAGAAGAGATCAAGTAGAGGCAAAGGGCAATGGTACTGGCTCAAAGAAGATAACAACATAAAGTAATTCCATAAAATTGCCAATGTAAGAAATTTGGATAACAGAATTAAATGGCTGAGGGTAAATGGAGAGTTGGTGTAAGATGAAGAATCGTGAATGCTATATTAGCTCTTTTCAGGGAACAATATGTCAATTTAAGAAAACTGAATGGCTTACATTTAGCAGACTAGCCGGTAGAAGAAGTGAAGAACCATTTACTGAAGTTTTGAAAGCAATAAAGGAGATAAATGGCAACAATGCACCAGTATCAAATGGTTCCAACATTAATTTAAAATTTTTAATAGATTTTGTTTGATAATAGTAGGACATACCAAGTTACAGGAATCATCTTCTCACCTGGAGGATTTTAAATTTACTAGGCAATATATTTGATAATATGATAGCTACTTTTCTTCTTACTCATCAATGCTGTCGTGGCACAATGTTTCTGTAAATAAATCCATAATTACCAAAATATGCATGTTGTATAATAATAATAATGTATTTATTTACTATGATTCTGATATGGTAACTGCTGACATTGAAATTAATGAAGATTAGTGAATATAGAGTGCCTACTAACACTGATGTGTCCTTTATTTCATAATTTAGTGAAGTTGCTTTGCTTGTACTTTTTAAAATTTATTGGATAATTATTTTATGTCCCCACCATTCAAGTATCTTTAGTGTTTTTAGATGGACTCCAATCCTCTTATCATCTTACAGGTTGGAATTATGATATTAACTATAACTCTTTCCTGTTTTAACTGAGTTATCTTTCATATAATCTTGCTCAGGTCTTTCAACCTTGGATTCAGCGAAGACTTGAATACGCAAAGCATGAGCATGTAATCTCTGGAATTTTGAAATATCTGAAAAGGCATTCATTAGGGAAGCTTCTCAAAGATGATGGTGAACCTAATGAAGATATTATAAAAAGGTTAGTCTTTGTTAAACCTTTCAAAATTCATATTCCCTTTTTATGCACTCAATAAGTAGGGATTGTTATATCCTCTAGCATTACTTGATCACTGTCTTGTCAATGCAATCACAGGTTATTTAAGAAAATTGATGCAGATAAGGATGGACACCTTTCAATTTCTGAGTTAAAAGCCCTGATTATTGTCAATACAATCACACCCTTTTCTAATTCTAGTTATGGGCATGTGCACCAAATATACCATGCCTTTGAGTGCTGGATTGAACATGTCAAGAGTGAAATAGAAGTAGGTGTTTTTTGTTAGAACAGGGAGAAGAATGGTGAAGGATTTTCTGCAATGGCATATAAGAATTAAATTTTCACACTTCTTTTCTGTAAAAATTTCAAAAGGAAAGAAAAAACAAAAGGGGTATTAAAGAGAAAAAATGAAGTACAAACTTTTTATGAAGCTCAGATGGATGAGTTAATTATAGACATGGTGGTCTAGACAACCCTCATTAATTATATTTTCTGTATCTGCTATGTAATCCCCTATATGTGGAAGAAAAAAAATACTGCAGCCATTCACCTCATTTACAGGGTATAGTTTATCCTGTTAAAGACTGGAATGACAGAACAGGATTCGTGTAGCTCACCCCATATGGTCGGGACAAGGCTTAGCTGAGTTGAGTTGAGTTTATCCAGTTACAGTATTGCACTATATCAATTATTGCAATTAGATAATTGTGATATGCATCTTGGGCAACCTGTGCTTCATGCAGGTTATATGTCCATTAGACCAGGGTGATAACGGGTATCCCCAGCCTGAGTTAGGGCTGGGCTGGGCCTAGGTCTATATGTCAAAGCCCAACCTGAATCTGTAGGAAGCCTGGTCAATTCGGGGCTGGGCCAGAGGCGTGTAGGACTGGGTCAGGCCTGTCTTGGCCCAATACGTAAACTAATGATAAGCCATATTTTGTGCATAAAGTACAGTACTGTAGCCCGGTTGGTATTTATTCCAAGCTTTCACAAGTTCATTAATGCCATATTCATATAAGAGTTTTTTTTCCTAACAAAAACTAGATGGAATGTAAAAACAATTGCAAGTTATCTATAGAAAATCGCTCTAATGACATAAAAAGTAAATATTAACAATAATCAAATGAATTTTTATGGCTGAACAGTGAGACTGCAATCTTGGTTGCCTGGCCTAGGCACTAGGCTCATCTTAGGCCAGACTAGAGCTGTATATCAGGCCTGATGGCTGGGCCATTCTAACCCTTGTATCTGATGCTAAGCATGGACTAGCCCTGTAATGCCATATCTTCACATTTAGCCTGTTGCTATAGGCAATACATGAGTTGCTCTGAATTGTTTGGCTTTATTGAATGGAGAATGCTTATTCTGACAAGTTGGTGCAGGCTCTGCCTGCTACATGTGCAACCACAAAGTATGGTTTTGAGCACTTCTGCCTATGGAAACGAATCTATCATTAATCTGCAGAATTCATTTTAACTAGATTCATTATTATCAATCTTACCATTGTCAGAGGTGCAAAGTATTTAGGTGTAGGACTGAAAATGGGTCTTTTCATTCTTGGGTTGAAGAACTGATATTCAATTTCCTCTTGCAGTGAGTCGAGCAAGGCAAGAATAGGCCGTGCACTGAGAAGGATTTGGGCGAAGCGCTTGAAATGGACACGATTAAAAGAGAAATTCTATTTAAAATGGGCAGAAAGCATAGCAGAAGCAGCAAGAAGTGGTGGGGATGACCAACAAGAACTAGATTGGGATAGCTATGACAAGATAAAAGCAGAGATAGCTAACCGGCAGCTTCAGTGGGCTGCAGACAAGGCAAAGGCAAAGGAACTTGCAAAACTAAGAGCAGAGAGAGCAGCAAAGGCAAGAGCAGAAAAGATGGAAAGGCTTGCCCAAAAGAGAAAAGAGAGGGATCTGAAGGCAAAGGCTAGAGAACAAACACAAAAAAAGATCCAGAGAAAATCAAAGGAGGAGAAAGAAGAGTTGGCTATTTCAAAGGAGTTAAGGTTGAAGGAGAGACTGACGTCAACACAGACATTTCTTATCCAAATTATTTAAGTTGAAAATCTTATTAAGTGAATTTGTTTATGCTGAAAGGTGGGGGATCTTTGATGGATCCTTCATGGTTGATCTCCTATGCCACACGATGGTACAATGTATTCTGGATACTTTTCACATTTTCTGTTGACAAAGCACTCTGCCCAGTTGTGTTATTATTGCCATTAAGCTCATTTGAACTAATATGCTTGGTTCTTTCTGTCCTTCATAAGAATATATGCATGCATGTACCAATCTTTTGTTTTACTGATACTATTACATGTTTGTGGGGAACCAGATTCACAAAAAGAAGTCTATGGATTCTAAAATTTCCATGCAAAAGAACATGGTGAATGGTCATCATCTAACTATTGAAAAATTGGATCTTGAGTTTATAAGAAGAGAGAAAATGCGAAGAAAAGTTTTGCTTGCAGATCAAATCCGGGCTGCCAAAAGCAAAAGAGTGGAATGTGTAGCAGGGGAAGCAGTCACAAACTCTTTGGTTCATCCTCCGTGAGCGAGTTAGACGGTATGATCAGCACAAGTGGTTGGAAACACGAGGGGTGGATGAAGAGAGCTTGGTTCAGGCCCTACTGAATTCTTGTACAAACCAAGAATTTTGAATGGAGAATGTTTTTATAAATTTTATTGTAATTGATTTTTTTTTTCAGTTTAAATGAATATAGAAAAAACAGGTAATAAAAAAAGTATACTTTTAGCGGCAGTAGAAGTTCAAGGCTGCCGCTAAAAAAACACGTGCCAAACTTACAGCGACAGCCAAATTAGTATTAGCGGCAGCTTAGGATTTATTCCGGCAGCCACGAAAACTACTGCTAGAACATCTAGTGACAGTTCTTTTACTAGCAATTTGCTGGCTGCCGGTAAAGTCTCTAGCGGTAGTTTTAGGGACATTTTTTGACTGCCTCTAAAAAGTCATTTTTCTTGTGCAAATTGAATTTTTTAAAATCCTTATACCTTTTATATGTTGTATTTGAACAATTTATTTTGGATATTATGATAATTAATTAATCTTTAAATTACATTTTTTATTTAAGTCCTTTTTTTGTCAATTGTCATGAGATTTGTGTTAAGCATGTATTAAAGTGATGAATCAATAAAAGTGCATGTGCAAAAAAAAATGTTGGAATTAGGATCTAAGTGGTTTAGACAAAACCTAAAGCGGCGGTCATTTAGGATCTAAGCCGGTGATTTAGACTGCCACATAAAGACGCAAGTGACGTTTCACAAAACCGAACACGACAGCCATATTGAATCTAGCGGTTCAGACTGCCGCCTAAAGATGCAAGTGATGTTTAACAAAACCTAAGACGGCGGTTCAAAACATTGCCTTTAATAACACTAAGTTATTCACCTATTTGTATTAAGATTTAAGAAACTAAACGCAAATGGTGGAGAAGTGAAAAAACAAAAGAAAAGAAGAAAGAATTTTTCAAATTTCAAATTGGATTTGCGTTAGAAAGCTGGATTCAAAAAGAGAATGTTTGAATAGATGGAGAAATATGGTTATTTTCAACAGAGGGTTGTTTGATTGCTAGCAGTAAGCATGCCTTCTCTTTTTAATTTTTTTAGCCCTACTCCATAATCATTTTTTTTTTTTAAATCTTTAGATAGTCTGAGTTTAGGTGTTTCTCAAATTTGCATGCAATGTGACTGAGTCTTATTTAACCCATAAATGGATTTTGAGCTGGATACCCGATCCAATTTCAATGGAAGCAACAACAGTACTGGTGGATTTATGCGCTCGGCTTGCTCAAGCTGATCTTCATGATATGATCACATTTTTCAAGACAGATCAACTTTAGAAGGATTTTAGAGAGACCTTTAAATTAAGCAAAGGAAAAAATTAATGGGTGCATTAGCTTTCCGGTTATTGTTCTTTGGGAACAATTAAAAGGAAAATGAGGCAAGTTTTAATCAAACAAACAAAAGTAAAAACTAATCTTTCTCATTCTCATTAATAGGGTCCATACTCCCTCTCTCACTCCCTCCTCTCTACTCCTCCCCCTCCCCCCTTTTTACCCCTAAAACTACAAGATGTAGTCTCTCTCCCCTCCCTCTATGTCTAAGCAAAAAAAAAAAAAAAAAAAGAAAATGAAACCAATCAAACAATTTAGACAATACTTTTCACTATTACAGATGGGAAGAACGTAGAAGGGGACAAAGCCTAACAAATTGTATTTTAGGATGGGAGCTTAGTGAAAAGAACACTCAAAAAGAAAATCCACCAAGTTAAAGAGAGCTCCTATCCAGTTCCCTCTTGTACATTCACAATAAACTTATAAGCCTTGCAATTATGGTACAACAGTAATGAATCTCCCACTTCTTTTGGCATAGAGGATGAGCTAGCATTTCAGTATTGAACCATACTGGCTGAAAATCTAACATAGTTCCCAAGTTAAGTTAATTAGATAAAACAAATACTATAACTAGGGCTTCATATGGGACCCATTAACAATATATATTCATTTTATCCCATTATGGAGGAGAGAGACCTAAATTCTCTCTCTCCTCCCTTCTCTGTTCCTCTCTCTTCCACCAACCTCACCATTGCCATCTTCCTCCAGATCATCGGTGTTGGACCACCACCATCCCTTGGTGGGCTTACACCTTGTCTGAACTATATGTTGTCAGCTAGATCAATCTTGTTTCACCATTTCATTCTGTTCAGTGTCATGGCAGAGCTAGGAAATTGTTATAAGGGGAGCCAAAACGTAAATGAAGTATGGATAGGCCCATAAGGGGGGTCAACCATTGAGATAGAGAGTGGGGGGAGAGGAAAATTTACATGGAAAGCTATATTATTACAGTGGGGATTTTCTGAAACATGGGGGGGGGGGGTCCGCCCTTGGTCATATTTGTTATTAAATTATGGATGCTTAAATCATTTGTTATTTTCCACCCAAGTCCTTTTAGTTCTGCCCCTAGCTCTTCTAGCCCCTTCAACTTGTAACAAATTTTTTTTTTCCTAACATGTGTTGCAGATGGTCATATACGCACATGATCGAATCTTCTCAATTTTACTTTCTCTTGTAAATTGATAGTGCATGATCTGGATTCTCTTAGCTAGAGGACAGCTCAAACGTCGTTCGCTTTGCTATCTGGTCAAACTGCAAGAGAGAAACACTCAGAGGACCCAGGGTGGCTTACCTAGTGTAGGTGCTTTGGTGCTTAAGTTAGTACTCTGATATGCGAGCTGAAAGCTTGAACGCTAGTGAGCAAGTAATTGCACGTACCTTGTGACGTTGGTGTTTGTGCCTTTATATAGGTGAGCTGCCGTAGGTCTTACGTAACACTTATGAGATCCTCGGCCCGTGCTACTAAGAATCCGTTTCGCACCAGGAGGTGGACTTCGTGTTAGTCGATAAAGTTTATTGAGTCTGTCCGATCCAGGCGGGATAAGGATAAGGCTTGCAAATGTGGAATATGATCCTGAAGAGATCGAAGACAGATAGATAGATTCTAGAAGTTGGCCACGTGTCACCTCGGTAGGTTGGGCCATCACGAGTTGCTTGGACCTCGGTCTTGGCCGAGGTGCCCAAGGTACCTGAGCTGACCTGACTCGCTGAGGTGGTAGGGAATATTGAGCCATCACCTAGTTAGGAGGTCGCTTCCACGTGTCCAGGTGTTGATAGGTCGGCCCAAATTACCCCTCATCATAAATAATAACAGAACTTGTATTTGATGATGTCTGCTTCCATGCAACCTACCAACATATTTAAGTAGTTGTACACAACCATACCAGTCTTTGAAGGAAGTAGGAACAGCCTCAAAACAAAGTTCCATGAAACCAAAAACAAAGACCGTTGTAAAGTCATGACACTTCCAACTTGCAAAAAAGATTCATCATTATCTAAGCCTTGTCCCAACTATATGGAGCTGGCAACATGAATCCTGTTTGGCTATTCCATTATGTTCAGTGCTGTATCCATTGTTAAATTATTGGCGCTTAATTGTTTCTTGTTGCTTCCATTCAAGACCTTTTTCTTTTTGCTCTTCAACTTATAACACATCACTTTTCCTAACAGGTGTTTAATATAGTCTTCTATGTATATGACCAAACCATCTCAATCCACTTTCATTTCATAACATGTTGGAGCTACTTATGTTCCTTCACACGACTCCATTTCTAACCCTGCCCTTCTAGTGTTACCACACATCCATCTTACTCTAATTTTATGGGCAACATCCTCCACAATCTCTTAACAGAAGAGATGACATTGAATCATCTTTCAATCTCAAATCATAATTGTACTCTGATTTGTATTCCTATTATTATAATAAACATTACATATATTTAGTTTTCACCCTACTTATTTTAAAACCTCTTTGTTCCTAATTCTTGTAAGCAAAAAAACTAACACAGTAAAAACAAAAAAGTGAAGGGCCACGAGACACCATGGATTGGGATCTTAGGAGACAAACGGACAAACATACAACCCAAATGCTGTGTTTGGTTGCAATGCAAATAAATTTGCAATGATGCGAAACTGTGACAGTGCTATGATTTGAGTGTAAATTCTGATCTCTTTTTGTTACAAATTTTAGTTTATTTTATTTGATTGCATTACAAATAAAGTAAATTAAGACATGAAGCAGTATAAAGTAAAACCCAAAACAAAATTAAATAGGAATTTGCATTTTTTTTTTAATTTGCACCAGTGCAAGCAAATAAAATTGCACTGCAACAAAACACAACCAAAAGAACAAATTAAAAAGGAAATTATTTGTACACATTGGTATGAAAAGTTGCAGATTGTAATTTCATCTTACCTGATAATTATATTGTTGTTGTCAGGTGTGGTTGATGATCGAATTTGTAGCGAAAGAAGAGGGATAGGGGCTATAGAGAAAGAGGGGGAGCCGACGGTAGAGGTTGATACTTGATAGTGACCGATCGAGGGGTGTATAGAGAGTAGAGGCATAAGGAAAATTTTCCAATTCAAATAATGGTAAGCTTGGGTTGAACACTTGAGCTGCTTGAGCATTTGTTATTTGTTAATAACTTAAAATTTTCAATTGGTCCGACCCGAGGGCCTGGCCCTAATGCAACTCTTGAAGTGTAAGTATTAACACTCTATTACTCAAATCAATTGAAATATGTTTGCAATCCAAGCTTCACTCCAATGGGATTTTTTTAAAACATGCTTTAAATGCACTTTAACTTAGTATAAATTAATTAATACTTTTTTTTATTATTTTTATTAATGACCTAGTTTTTAACTTTTATTAATAGTTCAGAATTAATTGTAAAAATTTATTTATGTAATTATTTGAAATGGAATTTAAATTAGTAAGAATAATTTTAAAAATTATTATTTTATTAGTACAATTATATTCATTTTTATTTTTATAATTTATAAATTAAAATTAAATGGATTTAAAATATATTTTTTTTAGTAACATGAATTTCTAATTATTATAAGATTATATAAGTAGTTATAATTATGATCAGATTTTATGATTGATTATTAATTTTACTATTATTACATATAATAT